GAGACTCTCGGTAGATAAGAAAAATAAACTTTTAAGAGAGAAGAAATCCAGACGTCTCATTCTCACCAAGGAAAATGTCTCCACCCTTTCTCTCTCTCTCTAGTCTATCTTCCTGTCTATATTTCATTTTGGGTTTTAACCCTTTCTCTTTTCCTGCTCCGAAATAATGTTTAACCAGTTCGCTGCTTCGATGTCACAGGTACATGATTCCTAGTTGATAAAAGTTTGCAGCCTTCTTGAAAAAAAATCATGTTTTAGGCCTTTTCAAAAGCTTGGCAAGTGGCGTAAAAACTAAAACAGTTGAATTCAGGGTTTTAAAATTTGTTCAATTATAGATCAGTCCCTTATTTTCACTCATAAAAATAATAAAAAAACAACAACCCTTATTCGATGATAAATGCCATCGAAAATGATAGACCCAATTAAAGATTTTGCTTTATGATTCAACAAACCTATTTTGATCCTTAAAATCTATTATGGAGTGAATTTAGGTTCTTCTAAATTCACTCCACAATAGATTTTAAAATTCTTTAAAATTTTCTTCAATTAATTTTATAATTTAATAACATGTGAAATACCATGATTATTCAATTGAAGCATGGACCACACTAATGTAAATACATAAAATAAGCGAAATAGTAAAACTTAGTGTAAGCTTTAAACTTTTAAAGCTGGATAGAAAATTTGAAAACCTGTATAAACGTGAATGAAGCGACATAATCAAGGGACAAAACTTTTAGATCATAATAATGGCAATTTTAGTCTAACATACATGAAAATAATGAACGTATTAAGTAAAAAAATACAAAATAAAAAATTATTTTAAAAATAGAATAGCACAACTAAGTTGATTAATTTTTCAATTTTGGATTTATAAATTTTGTTTCCACTTAATTACTATATCGCATCCAAGAAATAGCCCAATACAGAATTTTACACGATTTTAAAAACTATTATAAATTATTATAATTAAAATTTAAAAAAAAAATGAAAAATTTCTTGTAAAAATTCATTATTCATCAGAAAAAATTTATTTCTTCAGACAATAATGTCCTTAATATTGCTTATTTAGTTTTATTGGATTCATTATTTTTCAATTCAGAGCAGATTTTCAGTTAGCTCAAATTTGAAAAAAAAAGTAGGTGATTTACAATCTCCAAGAACTCCTACTTTTAACAACAAAAAAAAATTTCAGGGTATTGCAAGGTTTTGTGCGAAATTTCATGAAATTAAGTAAGTGTGTGTAAAAAAAAAAAAAAATTTTTTACAAAAATTTAAAAAAAAAAAAAAAACATTTCAAAATTATTTCATTCATTTGTGAATAAATCCTGAAAATTTCATTAAAATCGGACAATTACTTGTTTTTTACAAGAATTTCCAAATCAATGTGTTTTCAACAGAAAAAAAGCGCAAAAAAACAATGTTATTTTCATGTCACCGTGATGACGTAAAGAAAAGAAGACTTTAACCAAAATTTCAAACATGCTAGAAAGGATTAAAAAATTTCAAAAATAATTAAAAATACTTTGGTATTTCATCTTAATAATAACAAACATTTTGATGATAAAACTTTATTTTTGTTAAGTTTGTGGCCTTTTTCATTACACTATGCTGTTTTCCCGTGAAAACAGTGGAGGTGCCTAGTTCTTACTTTTAAAATATTGAGTCTCAATAACGTTTTTTGTCTGATTTTGAAGCCATTCAGTCTCTGGCTCCAGCTTCTGTTCTCATCCAATAATTGAAGTCTATTCATCTCCATTTTAACAATGATATTCACCCTGTATAAGGCTTAAAAACCACCCGAGGTAGAGAGGAAAAGGCTTTAGAAGGAACTGGAATCTCAATCCTAAACAGGAAACCAGAAATAAACTTCTATTCCTGTTCACAAAACTGTAATTATTAAGTGTTTTGACTTAGTATAAATCAAAATATCCCTTATCCAAATAGAAGTAAGAGGGAAATTAAGATTGGCCTTAACACATAAAAAAATTCAATTTACCTTTATAAAAGATCGCATAGATTATGTTTATGACTGTCAAATTTACAGCTAAACTTCTGACCATTTTGGTTGCAATAACTGAACAATACTAAATAAAAATAAGAACTGGACGATGTCCATAGATATAGGAAATTGACTGAGAACAGTCTACCCCTTAGATTAAATAAAGGGTTCAGTTCAGAATTACTTGTAGGTTACCCAGATCAGGGAAGATTTGAGGAAGCCTGGAGGGCACAACAGCTGAAATGTGATAGCAATAACAAAGATGAGGACAACAGTCTGAATATAAATATTTGAAATTCATCCTGTTGCTGTTCATCACAAGAGTTTCTTTTACTAAATAAAGACATATTTGAAGAAAAATGTAAAAGTTTAATGCCATTTTTGAGTGAAATCTTTTTAAAATTTTATTTTAGCACCTGTTATATTTTTATTTGTATGGATGTACTAAAAGGATATAATTTTGATTTCTGGCCTCTGATCATTCTACTAATTTTCATAAAAGCATATAGAATAAAAAAATTGTATTCCGAAACTATTAGTTGCATAGGATTATGATAATTTTACAGACAATAGAAATAAAAGCATTACGATATTGAATATTTAAAGAAGAACCCAAAGTGAACATCATCAGCATTATCAATTCAAAAGCTCTTTACTAATTTTGTACATTTTTTGTTAATAACAATTTCATTATTTCAAGACATTTTCTTAAAAAATCACATTGTGTGTAATTATATATGTTATTACATGAAATATGTAGAAAGAAAAAATAATAATAAAAATAAAAGCAATGAAAGTATCATTTAAGAATAAAAACTACTTCTAATATATTTAAAAAATAAAGTTATTCATTTCACTAAGTTTAATAAAAGCATATAGAATAAAAATTTATATTCTCAAACTATCGTTATTTTTTTTTATTATTTTTTTTTACAGTGAGGTTCATTCCTTCCTTGTAAGGAATGAACCTCACTGGATAGGCCCGGGGCCTCTCAAGGTAGAGGGTTATAGTAACAATAAAGTTTATATAGCTAGAGTGGGGCGATAACGTTTAACCTTAGATTTGAACAGATTAAGATTGTAATGATCGGGGCAAACATCCTCTTCGGAGTCAGTTCTATTGAGCAATGGTTTGTGCAAAGAAGTTGTTCAAGTCGGACTTATTTTTTACTCATAGAATACAGAAGGAATGAGGGTTGTATGTTATAATGTCAGTTGCATGGCAGGTCCTGGCCATGAAGTTTAGAACTAGTAAAACCAAGGAATGCAGTTTATCTTAGCACTTGCCATGGAAGTAGCAATAGAGCAGTGAGGGTCTTGCCACATCCAGCTTGTGAGAGAGAAGTTGCAGAGTGGAAAATAATTTGTCACCGACAAGGATATGAAGATGCTTTTGGACCCTACCATAAATGAAAAGTGAAGACTGAGCAGCTCCTGCCAAGGTTAAGGATAATTTATTTTTAAACATAAATATCAATTTCTTGATTGTTGCACTGCTGGTGTTTTTTATTTTGCACACTTTTTAAGTCAGGGGTGTCATTTTACAGTTTTTGTTTTTAGCCTTTGACCCTATAGGCCACTGGGCATAAATAAGCATTATTTTCATTAGTTTTTAAATAAAAGATAAACATGATGTTCACAAAATACATTTAATTAATCCTTAAATTTACTAAATTACTTCAAAAACATATCTCATAAATAAATATTAGATTTTTAAAAGATTTTTAAATTTGTAGTTTACATTTATTGTCTATAATGGCAATTCAATGAATTAATGAATAACAAGTGTCTATAAAACATGGGTACACATCCTTCTGCATTTGTATTGATTTTTCTGATAACATTTTGTGCATAACTTTTGCCTTCCTTGTTCCAGTCTCTTTGACAAATCTGCATCATTCTTGTTCTATCTTTGGACTGATTTTGCTGCATGCTCTATTTGTCATAATTTGGATGATGTGTTTTGTTATATGGCTCATTAGGTGGATTGTCTGATGGAGTTTACATTTGTTTGCACCTGGTTTTTTTAGACAGTGCTATGAAAAATGGATCTGTTTAAGTCTTCCGGTATATCCCCACTGTTGTAGATTTCATTTATTATTTCTGTAATCTTGTCTATGCCGAAATCATCTAAGCCAGCATCTCTATTATGATTTCGTCTGGCCCTGTCACTTTGTTTCCGTTCAATTTGGCCAGTGCATATTCCACTTTGTTTTTTAATATTACCGGTCTGTCGATATTTCTGTGTATTGCTGGTTGTTCGCTTTTGTCGTGGAAGAGTCTACGATATATTTGTTTCATTTCTGAAGTATTTTTTCTTTCTCTAATATCATTGTTTTTCCCTCGGATTTCATGCATCTTGTTGATAAAATTAATTTTTCTTTTAATATGGATAAAGCTTATGTTGTTATCTTTTGAATAAAACCAAAATTTAACTTCAAAGATGACATTTTAAATTATCTAAAATGTCTTTCAGTTCTTTTCTTTTTATAAAGTCTATAGTGAGACGATCTAAAATATACTAACAGTCCAAGAGAGTGAAGAAGGCATGAACTTTGCCATTATTACTTACCCTGCTCTTTTCTAAATTATTTTTTCATTTCAAAATTTCTGGATTTTTGAGTATTCTTTATCTTGATAAATTAACCTATATTGCTTAATTTTTTTTTTTCTCTTTGGTAGCTTATATATGTTTTGTTTCTCTGCTTATATAAGAGAGAGCCATGTATTTGAATACATTGTATGTTCTTACATATACAATAGCAGACCTTAAAAGTCTTGGATCCAACTAGAAAGTCTTTGAAAAAAAAAAAAATTAAAATCTGGATATTTGGTCAGTTGTTTGAAAATATGTTAGGCTGAGAACTTTTCAGCACACACTGTATACACGTGCATGTTTTTGCATCTTATGTTTTCATACACATTTCACATGTATTATCAATTTGCATTTAATAACATAAACATAATCAAATATTTTTCTCTGTTAATATGTACTTACTTCTTCAAAGAATTGTTTCACCATATCTTCTGACAATTGACCTGGTTTTGCTATTTTGGGTTGAGGAGGCACTTTTGTAAATAAATTTCTTCGGCATAATTCATCGAAAGGAGTTTCGATTGTAGTAGCTGCCATGCTTTAACTACTGCTAGTCAGAATGAATGTGGCAGTTCTAGTTTTACAACAAGCCTGCACTTTTAAGTAAATTTCCCACAATTCAATTGGTGTTATTTCAAAAGTACTGTTCAGATAACAACCATGAGATATGAAGGTTATCTAAATGAACATATATACACTACACTTCAAAAGTTTTAAGTCACTCCCAGAATTAGTATGGGATGAACTTGACAGAAAAGTGAAACCTTTCCATCCCCAAATATAAAAAAGATCTCTTAGAGTCACTGAAAAAAGAATGGAATCAATTATCAAAACTTGTACTTTGAGAAACTTTTGCAATGAATGCTAAAAATTTGTGTTGCAGTAATCAAGGCTAAAGAGGGATATTTTGATGAGAGCAAAATTTAATCATAAAATTCTTTTATACTTTTTTCTCATAATAAGATTTCTAATAAAAAGTCATGTTTACTTTTTTTTAATCATGTATAATAATTTTTTCTTATTTAAAGTACAAAACAATTGAAAAATAAAATACTTATCAGGTGGGATTTGGAAGAATTTAAACTCAAATTAAACTACTCAAAAAAACTGATGTCTCTGGCCCATCAACTTAAACCACATTGGAACCTGGCATGGCATGATAAATAGTTTTGCCAAAAGTCCACATGATTTTCAGTAACTTCAAATTTTATGTTTTTTCTTAGCAACCGGTCAGGCATATTCATGTTGGTTTCAGTGCATATTTTGAAAAGTGAAAAATCCCAGCCCAAATTGAAAAGCACTTCATAGACAGCCATCTTAGTTATATAACAAAAGATTCTTTGTTTGGATGGTTAATTTATCATAACTATTCCCAGACTGAAATCTATGTAAACGTATTCTTGTACAGAAATTAGAGTTTGGGTAGAATTCAAGAAAGTCGCCTAGATATTTTCAGAGCAGATGCCAGGCAAAACCTATCAGCTCCATCCTTCATTAGAGAAAGTCCTCCACAGAAGTTACTCAGCATTAAGGCATTAGCACCACCGACATTACTTCATCAGATGTCTCTTGGTGCCTCAAGGGTAGAAAAGAAGTGATTGAAATGAAACAGCTCCATAGCTGTTGTATGATTTTTACATTCAACCTTTAAATTAATTGCTGATAAATAACATCATTTCTTCTGTTGGAATGCTTACAGCTTTTTCTGTAAGGTTGCCTAATCATGAAGAAATAGTACGATTGAAATCTCACATAGAGCAACAAATCCATGGCCTGTTATTTTCTCACAGGTACAAAACAAATGGAAATGAACCAGCAAAATTGATTGCACCAAATGCAAGCCAACTTCAATGAAGTATACCCACAGCCTGGTATGATATTAAAAACCTAGACAGAGGTGTTATATTTGGTAACCAGCATAAGTATGGGTTATGTCTGGTGATTCCGGCCAAGAGTCTGGTTATACCAGTTTTACATGTGCCAAGTTTCCTTTGCTTTGACCTATTTAAATGTTACATTAGCAGGAAACTGAATCAGGCCAATATAAAATGGAAATAAAGAGATATTGATTGATACACTATGAATGATATCCAACATTATATGGACCAAGTCCTCCTTTTTTATCTTTTTTTTTTTTTAACCTTCCTCATGATTAAATAAACCCAGTCGATTCAAATATTCTTGTATTCATTTCTTTCACAAACAGCATGATGACATGATCGTAAAATGGTAAATGTGTTCGCAGGCTCTTGTCCTGGGGAAGGACATGTAACTCTGACTTATGAAATGGTCAAGATTAAACACAAAGTGGAAATGAATGCAGTCATTTTTGAAAATTTGATATTTAAGAGATGAATATGCAACTTAATTATCTCCATTTAAGCAATGTACTTATTGAGCAAAATATAAGACACATGCTGCAAGATGTAAATAATAAAATCATGTTTATCTGATGTCATCACTATGACACATATCAACAGGAAGTATGAAGATAGCCAACTGAAGGAGGCTGTCAAGTACAACAACTGAAATACTGTATTGCTAACAACCAAGATAAATCTGAATAGCAAAGATAATGAGAATTCTTCATTTTAAAAATTCTGTCAAAATAAAAGTTTTATAAAGTTTAATTATTGCTGTGTGCATATATATATATATATATATAGAGAGAGAGAGATAGATATAAGCAACTATATATGTGCATGTTGGCATGCATACACAGGCAAGGGACCTCAAAAATATTGGCAATGTAGGTATACTTAATAAGTGGAATGAACTCATGACAGTCTGTAGGCACAGAAAATCGTTTCTATTAAAATACTAGAAGCCAGATTAAATTACTCTTTTTTTATTACATATTTTTCTTTTATTAAGCTTTGTGTTCCATACCCTCTTATCTCCCTTTTAACCTGGCGAGTGTTACCATATCAGAAATAGAGCAGTGTCTTCAGTATTAATTTGAAATCTTACTTATTATAAAACGCAGATTGTGTGTGTGTCTGTAATGTTTATATGTTGGATCGAATTTCCTACATTTTTTAGCCGATTTCAACAAAACTTCACAGGACTACATAAAATTACCTTTGTGGTGGTTCTAACAGGGCTGAAAATGGTAAAAATACAGTTGTTTTTAATAAAATCAATTTGAAAACACGATTAAGACACATCGTGAGAAATGAAAGGGGAGAACTCACCCACGAAAATGTAAACAAAAGAGCATGAAAAAGACACCGAACTTGACGAAAACAAAATTTTATCGCCTAATGTTCATATTATTATTAAAGAGGAAAGATCAAAGTATTTTGGGGTATTTTTTTACATTTTTTAATCGTTCCTAGCATGTCTGAAATTTTCGTTAAAATATTGTTTTTTTTTTGGTCAAAAAAAAAAGGACAGATAATCATTTTCAATCATTTTTTTCGATTTGATAAAAAGATTAAAATCTTACTTTGATATTCTTTTTTAAAATCAATTATCATTTTTTCAAAACTGATTTTAATAAAAACAGAAATTATACTGTTTATTTAAAATATTTTGAACCAAGCTTAACTTAGCTTCTCTTGCCGAAAAATGTAATTTGAAAATAAAACAAAGCAGGTCATAACCTTTCGTCGCTGACGATTGACGAAAAGGCACATTCATGACGTTTAGATAACTTACGGGAGGAGAATTCTTTCTACGGATGGAAGGAAGTGAAATTATTTAAGTGAACAAATTATTTACCTTGTTACTTTTAAGGAAAACTTTCAGCGCTCTAATTTTTATTTTTTATTTTTTAAAATTTTTTTGTACTTAGCTTTCATTTTTACGTTTTATTTATGCTTTATGGAAAATATAAAGAAATTAAAAAATAAGACTGTTAATAGTGAGATTAAATTTCATAAGGAAAAAGTTATCTAATTAATTTAGGTACCTTTCTTATGAAATTTTAGCAGAAGTGTACATAAAATACTATAATTTTATGTACATTTATTACATTTTTACTGTGTTATTTGTATTTCCATTCATTTTATTATTAATTTTGATATTTCATTTATGGAAAAATGTCATAACTGAGATTAATATAAAAATAAGATCATATAAATTAAAGTTTAGCAGTAGTTAAATTTCATAAGATGATACTGTTACTTGTAGGTACCCTTCTCAGTTGAAATTGAAAACTCAAATTAACTTCTCCACACGTGTTTCACAAAAGTAAAGGGTTTAACAGCGGAGAACAATGCTGAACTCAAATAATGCAACTAAATTGTATTCTGGTTGGTCTTCCATACTTGATAATTACTGTCCGACTATAAACACAAAAATTACATTTCTTAATTACCATGGCTAATCTGATTGGTCCAAATTATACAATTTTCAAAGCGCTAGACAATGACAATCTCAGACGGACATTTTGAAAGGTTGATGTTGCATTTAACTAATATTAAAATATTTTTTAAAATTCAATTTAAACATTTTTTAAAAATCTTTTTAAAATTAAAGAAATAAGAAATAATTGTATTAAAAATTCAATTTTCATTGAAAAAATTTTTTGCTTCCATAAAATATTGTCCATATTCATAAAAACAAATTCAAACAAATAAAAGCATTTGAAACTAAATAATATATTTGTTTTTATTGAGTTTTGTATGTTACAATTCACAGCTGATTTTCAGGTACATTGGCCAAAAAAAAAAAAAAAAAAAAATATGATTTGCATTCTTCAAAGCCTTGTGCTTTTAACTATTGTAATCACTAAAACCGATGGTCTCAATTTCTAGAGTTTTTCATAAAATTAGGGGTGTTAATAAATATAAAAAAAATATTTCTGCCATGACTTTAATAAAAAAAAATATTTTTATAATAATTTCGATCATCTGTGAATAGTTTCTGAAAGTTTCATTAACATCTGACAATTATTTTTATTTTTGCAAGATTTTCCAAATTAATGTGTATAAATACAAAAAACGCGCTAAAATTATCTATGTTATTTACTACCCCTTGTTGCGAAAAGAGAAACAAGGTTTTTAAATCAAAATTTAGAATATTCTAAAAGATGGAAGAATTTTAAAAAATAATTAAAAAAAAAAATTTAGTCTATCCTCTTCCATAAAAACATAAGCATTTTGACGATAAAATTTTGTTTTCATAAACTTTGGCGTCTTTTTCATCAGATTATGCTTTATGTTTTAGCGATTCTGTGGAGTGACTTAGGTTAAAAAACCCAGGTTGTTTATGTGTGTGTGTGTGTTCCTTTATATATGGGATCGGATTTCTTACATTTTTCAGCCGATAAAACAAACATCCACTTTTTTTTTCAGCAGGTAGTATTTCTTATTGTCTTGCACACTTTTTTCTTTATTTACATTCAGAATGCTTTAAAAATTCCATTTACAAGACAATTGTTTATAATAAAATTCTATTCACCAATCGATAGACTCATAACGATTGTAAACAATGTTTTTGTTTGAGCTTGGGTTTGACCAATTCGTAAAAAAAAAAAAAAAAAAAAAAAACTAATTAAGACATGCGTGTCCGTCAACCTTAAACAATAATCT